ATGAAATTAAAGTTAATTTGGTTTAAATTCATTTAACTAACAAATTAAGGGTTAAAAGTTTTAATTTGTACAGGTGGCATTTTAATTTGTACACGTGGCATCCATGAATTTCCACGTTATTTATAGTATTATTTATATAAAATATACTTAAGTGATTCTGTTAATTAACATGACATGTCATAAAAAATTTAACGGAAGGACTAAAAAGGGGTCGGATTTATGAACAGTAAAGATAAAAAAGGGAATTTTTTCGGTACAGGAACTAAAAAAGAGCTTTTTCCTATAGTAGGAGGACCAAAAAGGATATTTAACCAAAATAGTTTAGGAGGTTATAAGTTTTATGCGACAAAATGAAGAATTGCGTTTTTTGACTTGTAGATTATCCTTACCACCAATAAAAGTAGGGCTGGGTATTTGGAAACCGAGCTTATGGGTTACTCGGAAACCCAACCGAAAAAGATAAGGGCTTCTTTGATAAAGTTTTTAGGAATTTTAGCTTTTTGACACTATTTATGTTTTATAAATTTAAATTTCTCTTTTCAAAACTTACATTTTTAAACTTTTTTTTTATTTAAAAAAGATCTTCAACAATAAAATCTTAAAAACTTGAAATCCAAACTTTTCATAAACTTTATTTTTAATTACTTTTCACTCACTTTTTTCTATTTTTAAAAGTAATTTTTAAATTTTTTTCACAATAAAAATTTAAATTTATTACAATAAAAATTTAAATTTATCATTCATAACAGTATTCAAAAGATAAAAACTCTCACAAACTACACCAAACAAACCCTGAATTTGGTTTGGTTTCAATGGTTTTTGATTTTTACTGTTTTGGTTTTGATGTTAATCGAATAATTTTTGGTTTGATTTCGATTGAACATTTCAAAAATCAAAAACCAAAAATAAGCTTATGAAAATCGAAATTATAATAAATAGGACAAAATATGATAAAATATAATTTATTATTAAAAAAATAATTGATTAATATTTATTTAATAAAAATCAAAACCAAATCAATTTTATTGGTAACCGAACCGATCGATTTATGAAAAGTTCGGTTTGATTTCAATTCTCAAAATTAAAGAAATTTTTTTTGGTTATTTAAAAACCAATTTCAGTTTTAACCAAAACCGATTTTTGTCCGCCCCTAAATAAAAAGGTGTGGTTATCATTTTTTTTTACTAATCTTTCAATATTTAAGTAGTTATATTAAGTTTTAATTAATTTAAAATCAAGATGAATTGAATTTTGTATAAAAAAAATTCTCTCAATGGTTATTTCTTTATTTATAAGAGTAACTCAAATTCAAGAATTTATTTTAAAAAAATTAAGTAATATCTACTCAAATTAAAAGATTATTGGTTAGGAGTGTGATTATAATTATATAAATATTAAAATTAGATAATTTTATTTATCATAAAAATAGATAATAATTAATATTTATTATTTAATAAATTAAATTTATTTTTATAAATTAATATTTTTAAATATTATAATTAATTATTTTAAAAATTATAAATTAATAAAATATTATTCAATCTAAATATCTCTTCTTTTTTTTTGACAAAGGTAATGGTTAAGAAGTTAGTAGAGTTAGTTGTTAACAATTGGGACTTCCCAGAATGGTGAACAATCCATCCCCTCAGAAGAGGCGTGCGACTATTAGATCATAAGTTGATGGAGTTCACGACAATAGCAAAGATCAAAACCCTGACTTCCAGCTCACCCAAACCCTAATAAGGCTTGAGAGCCAACCATTGAGCTACAAACCGGGTTGACAATCTAAATATCTCTTTGACTTTAATAAAATGGTTTGAAGCGATCACCTCCACACTTTCAATAATGAGATCGATGTTCCAGAATTTCAGCTTCAAATCTGGTTCTCACACTTCATTTCCGAAAGGATTGAGGTGACCGTAGTCCGTCCCCATCCAAGTTGGTATTTGACTGTTTTTTGGCCGTATGAGTATGATGGTGTTTGACTTGACACTAGAGATCTACGCTAATGTGACATTTTCTTTGAACTAACATATATAGGAGTGAAATGTACGAAAAATAAAAATAAATATATATATATATATAGAGAGAGAGAGGAGTGGAACCCACCTTTCAAATATAATTACTTAAATATTTACATTTAATTTATAAATTATTTCCATAAAAAAAAATTATAAATTATAAGTATTTCTTTCAACTCATGGATTATGCTCATTCATTTTTCTCTTCCTTAAAAATTGTCCTTATTTAATATATATATATATATATATATACATGTGTGTGTGACAATAATACACTTATTATTAATCATACTCATATGAATAAAAGCTTTAAGGTTCATTGGTTAGCTAAATATTTAAATTTAAAAGATATTTTTACTTATTAATAAAGGCAAAAAATTTTGTATTTTTTAAATTTTTTTATAAGTTAAATTATTTGCCTTATCCTATAAAAGAAAAAAAATTCATTATAAATACTTCTCTAGCTAACAAAATGCTTCCCATATTAAGCGTCAATTTTTGTGAAGTGATAGCTTGAAATTTCAGAAAGAAAATAATAACAATACTCCCTCGTTCTACGTTATTGATTGGTTTAAGAGGAAACATTAAAATTAGGAAAAGTAATAAATTACTTTTAATGTTAAAGATAAATATATTTAAAGTATTAAATTGCTCCTTTAAAATTCACTTTTATTCACTACTTTAATGAATGAGATAATTTGACGTTGAAGCTAAAATAGGAAGTAGCTAGCTAATTAGTGTT